CCTGGGAGGTTGGGCTGGAGAGGGGTTGCTAGCGGGGAGCCTCTGTGTCGGCTCCACTATCCCCACTGCTGGGGAGAGGCAGGAGGCAGCAGAGGGAGGACCCGGAGCTGCGGGAGCCTGCAGGCCACAGCAGCTGAGGCCGTGCGAGTCTGCAAGGCCGCCGGGTATTTCTGATAAGCACAGAGAGGTGCCAGGGTAGGGGGGACTGTTGCCCCTGCCCAAGGCGGGCCTGGGCAGCACCTCCCTTGTTCCTGTCCCTTCACCGGTAATTCTTGGTGCTCTGTCTGGTCCTGGGTCCAGGGCTAAGCCCTGAACTGGCTGCTTTAACGTGGTGATTGGAATGAGAACACTGGCACGGGGACAGCTGGTCACAACAAACTCATCCTAAACAAACTGTGCCTGGAAATGAACCACGGGAACAAAGGGAGGCTGGAAGAGCCTCCAGCTCAGAGCGGGGAGACAGTGGATTTAATTGGAATTTAAACTGGAGCTGGATCAGTGTTTGCAAGGGGTTTTGCCTTCTCCATTCCGTGGCATGGCCACAGAAGATGTGGATGTGGCATTCCCACGCCAGCACATGGTGTGTCAGGGTGCGTGAGAGCCGGGCCTGGAGCCAGCGGGAAAGGGGCAGGGACCAGCAAGGACTGGTTCCTCTCCAGCGCCCGGGGAGGGCCGCGTGGGAGGCTGGATCCAGGTCGGGTGCCTGCTGCATCAGACAGGCGCTAGAAGCTCGAGTAGGTATGAAAAATATCCGGGAATATTATCAGAGGATTGAAAAAGATGCCTTGGGATATAAGCTTTAAGAGCTCAATCTGTTTAGCCTATAAAAATAGAAGATTGAGGGGTGACTTAATTATGGAGTCTAATTACTTCGCAGGCAGAAAATACCAGGTAGTAGAAGTCTCTTTAATCTGGCAGAGGACAGATGAGAGGCGTGCGAGCCAAGGGCAGGACCGTGAAGCTACAGACAGTAAGTGAGGCACAGCGTGCTCGCAGGGAAGATCCCCATGATGGGAACAGGCTCCTCAGGCAGGGGATCCTGCTGGACACCCTTCTGGGAGATGGCAGCTCCCAGCTGCCCCAGGCTCTGCAGCCTGCGCAGCCAGTGTCCAGTGAGGCTCTTCCCCTCTCGCCTTTCTGCCCAGCTGAGTCGCGGTGGAGCTGGGGTGGGTTTTCCCAGCACAGGGTACTGAATCTCTTGGCTTTAGAGGGTCTCTGAGCTGGGGCTGCTGCAATCCAGGGCTGACAGGTGCCTCTGTCCCACTTGTCCCATTCTCCGCAGCCGGAGCAGGTGCTGGGGCGCAGCTTTGCCCACAAGCGATGGGGCAGGAGTGGAGACTTTGATGCCTTTCGCGGGAGCCCCCAGAGCCATGACTGCAACTGTGCAGACGCTGCGTTTCAAGCTGCTGCCTCATGACACGGGCCAGGAGTGGGCACACGACTGCCAGCAGGAAATCGAGCGTCGCTACCAAGTGGTGCCCTCTGTGGTGTGCGCCATGTGCTGCCTCTTCGGGATCATCTACTGCTTCTTCGGTGAGTCAGGCCAGGCCCCGGCTGCGCTAGGAGAGGCTGATGGGCACATGGACATGGGAGGAAGGGCATGGGGGAGATAGGTCCCCGCTGGGAGCAGCAGCCCCACGAATGGGGCACAAACCCTGCCAAAGGGAACCATTTCTTGCTGGCTTGGCAGCAAGGAGAGTATCATGGAAAGTGTTGCATTCCCCCCCCTCACTCAAGCAGAGATCCTGTGGCACAGGGCTGGCTGTGCCCCTCCCGGGCACCACCTCCTTCCTGGGCACACACTGTCACCATCTCTCCGCAGGCTACCGCTGCTTCAAGGCCGTCATGTTCCTGACGGGGCTGATGTTTGGCTCCATCATCATCTTCATGCTGTGCTACAAGGAGCGGGTGCTGGACACACAGCTGAGCGTGGAGGCCTCAGTGGGCATCGGGCTGGGCATCGGCGTCCTGTGCGGGCTGGTCACCATGCTGGTGCGCAGCGTCGGCCTCTTCATGGTGGGGTTGCTCCTGGGGCTGGTTGCTCCTGGGGCTGGTGCTGGAGGTGGCCACGCTGGTGGTGATGGAGCAGTTTTACCACCCGTCGACAGTGTGGATCCCCATCGCGCTGCTCCTGGGCGTGGGGATGCTCTTCGCTGTGCTCACCCTGCAGTGGCAGCGGTTCTTCACCACGCTCTCCACCGCCGTCTTCGGCAGCGCCATCATGACCGTCACTGTCGATTACTTCATCGAGCTCTTCCTGCTGGTGCAGTACATCTACGAGCGCATCAAGGTGGCCCCTGCGCGCCCCGTGTGCTGGTACAGCTGGGTCATCCTGGGTGTCTGGCCACTGCTCACCACGCTGGGCGTCCTGGTGCAGTGGAAGGTCACGGCCGAAGGCTACTCCCACACGGAAGGTGCGCGGGGCCGTGGGGTGGCCCAGGGCTGGGGGAGATGGACATGGCCTGGGGTGTCGCTGGGTGCCGGAGCTGGGGGGCTCGGCGCTAGGTCAGGGTTCCCAGGCCCGGCTTTGTGTGTGCAGCTTGCCTGCTGGGTGGGCTCTGTGGTGCGCAGCAGGCGAGCACGGCGGGGGGACATGGGCCCCGTGTGCGGGGTGCAGGGCAGCTCCGGCCAGGTGAGCGGGGCCGCTCGGGGTCCGAGCGGGATGCGGGGCTGCGGCGTGTCCCGGCTCACGGCCCTTGTGCTC